GTCTGTTCCCGACTGCATTTGTCTTTTGCCGAAGCTCAGACTCTGGCATAGGATCGGGAACGTTGGAAGCTCTCTCTTACGCATCTGCCTCCGCGACCCGCAAGGAGAAGTGGCCATGGAAGATGAGGATGAAGGTGAAGTCTTGTCTTTAACACGCAACATTGACATTTTTGCGAACGTCTCGATGCTAATCGTTGTTTATTCAATGTTTTTTCTGAAAATCAAGTTTTTTCTGTAACTTCCAATGGTGTGAAAAAATTTGTCGACTGTAGGTCGCGCATCAAACGACGAGAAAGCGGCCGCAGTACGACTAAAAAACGTTTAAATTACCACCTGAACGATGCATCGGTTTTCCAGCCCTGTATGGAAGGAAACCTGGTCGTTAGGGTTCACGAAAATTCGAAACTACGATCAACGGCAACAGCGACCCAGGAACGCTGGTAATAGGCCATAAAATGCCAAGGAACTACAAAATGTCGATCTTCGATGTATTCATCGACAGGCCTTTGCTGAGCCATGCCTTCTTCCGCATTTAGGTTTGAAAATCAATACACGAACTAGCCAATTATTGTATGAACATTTCTACATACATAATTTATTCCAGGTTACTTTTAACTGTTATTGCGACGAATTTAGACGATCATCAAACTATTGGTCGCCATCAGTAATCCTTAATTTTACGTCATAAATAGTTGAGTGAAAGTGAGGTAAACCCAAAAAGTCAGGGCGAAGTATAGTCGCTTTCATTTATTGTACAACTGTAGGTGATTAGGTACGTGAAATGATAATGCTCAATTTGATGAGATTCTTGCTGGTCCCGGAAGGGTATGTTAAACGTCAATTATCTTGTCTTCAGTGATCCGTAGACACTCTAGAGGAGGTACTCACGAGTAACGTATAATAACGTAGTAATCAGCCTTCGATAGCTGCGTTATGACAAAAGTATAAGACTAAGGTACTGAAACGATAGTTGAGGAATCACAAATGTTTGGCAAGAGAGATCTGACCAACAAATGAACATTTCAACCATATTTTCCTGAAAGGAAAAATACTCATATTTACAAGTATCCGACTTTAATTTCCGACTTTGAGGTCCCCTGGTGTTTTCTGACGTGCTATAATGGCATCGCGCTGTCTGCCTCCTCCGTTCAGAACGGGTAGCGACTCCGCTGCTGTTGATGATGCTGATGATACAAGTAACCTTACAACATTGCCATCTACTGTTTGGAGACACGAAGAAATACACATCTCGTAATTATCCAGAAAGTTCGAAAATGCCGTTTATTCACAACGCCTCGGCCAGAAGCCAAACGAATGACTCGTGACAACTATTTAACAGTTGGTAATCAGCATCGAGCCATCGACAACACAACTGCTGTGGTCCTGGTGTTTCACAGACCCGTGAAACTGTGGCCAGCGACGGCCCATTCGACGTGTGGCGTTTTATGTATGTGGCATTACTGGTTGTCTGGCAAATGAAATTAATTACCATCTTGCGAAAGCGTATGACGCCTTTGCTGCTGGCTAACGCGTACAAGGCTTCCTTCTGGCAATACAACGCTGTTTGGATGCACGCCTCGTGCATACGAGCCTGAGCAATAAATTTTATTTGTCAGAAATGAAAAACGGGTATTGACAAAAACGCCGCGCATCCGGTAGGTTTCATAGGATTCCCATCGGACAGCTTGAGCTTGACGGGAGCTAAAGGCTCCATTTGTCCATGAAAATTGCATGGGTGCATTAAAATTTTTTCCTCATGCAGTCGTCTAAACGATGAGACTCAGAAACAACCTCGCCCTCTTCGCCGAAACAAGGAAGCTAGCAGACAGAAGATTCAGACGAGACTAAGTATGGCACACTCCTTCAGGCAGGATGCTATGAACAAAGCAGAGACCAGACTTCGGGAAATGATGCTAATGGCCGCATCCGTACGTAAATGGGAAAGCTAGAAGAAACAAAACTAAGTAAGAGTAAGCAATAAAAATAACAGCGTTGAAAACGGTCGTGGGAGAAACCAGTTCAGCATTTTCAAGAAAGCTCACAAATGCTAATAACAGAATTATGCAAGAAATAAATTATAGCTCTTCTTCATGACTTCAATAACAGTCAGAGACTCCTTGATCATACGATTGACGCTTTAAACAGCGTAAAATGATATGGCGTATAAATGAATCATTGGCTTCTAATCATGAAGAACGAATGGTTTAATAACCAACAAATATGCCCGATGCCAACAGAGTGGCAGACACTCGAAAATCTCGGAT